ACTCAATAACTTGGTGTAAGTGTACCAAATCACCAAAACCAACCAGGAGTAAAACCAGTTACCTTGCAGAAAATATTTAAAAAAACAAGAAATTTGAGGCAAAAATGCAGAGAAAAGATAATAACTAAAATATAACAGTGGCCAAGTACATATTTGCCTTTTACTCCTCTTGCTTATAGGGCAGTGACATTACAAAAAGGAAAATCTTGAAATTATAGCAATGTGGGTGAAGCTATTATGAATAGGTAAGCATTCAATAAAAGGACTATTATTTTTACCTTAACACTGGTACCTAGTTTGTTCACCCAATAAAACATTACTAAACAGCTAGTAAAGGCCAGTTACTGGCTGCAAACTGGAAATTAAACTAAGTAGTAGAAAGCAAAGAAAGCAAACAAGAGCAAAACGAATGACAGGATGAAAATAAATCAAAACATGCTGAAGTAATTTTGAGACTTTTTTTAAGTTAAGACATACAATAAGTGGGAGCAGATAAACCTGTATTCCAAAATGAACAAGTCCAATAAGCATATGCTGGACATCAACCAATTACAAGATAGGTAGTATAATTTCTATACTGCGTGGAATAGTGTGTTAAGCTAACACTTTTGCAATTGTACACAAGAAAACCAGGCTACATTTAGGTTTATTTTAAAAGAGTCCCAAAGACATTGCTAAAATTTATCTTTAAAATGTCTAAAGAAAATATTCCTACTCATGTGGAATTGATGCTGTTAAGATAGTAGCATGGATGAACACTTAGCCTACAGGTAAATAAGACTGTACACTCCTTCAATCTTTAATCAGGACTTGGAGAAAACTTGTTTTCAGAATTTATCTGGCTCAGTCTCAACTAATGGATGTGTATGTAGGGCATCTCTGGGAATGATCCACATAGGAATATTAAGGAAGGAAGGGAGGGAGGGAGAGACAGACACTTCTCCATTTAACAACTGAGCAATGGTCCTGTGACTAGATTATTTGAATTGGATGCTAAATGAGGAATTATATATAGGATGTACATTACAATATTCAGAGCAAAGAAATGGTCAAAAGAAATTCTAACCTGATTACTTTGCTTTTATTTATATAACTTTTACATGTACCACTGTAATGTATAATATAAAACTATGGTACTGTACCGTATAATCAGCAAAAATTGCAGCACTGTATAAACAAGATATACTGTACCAAAAAAAGACATTGAGGCTCTGTAAAAAAGATGTACAGAAGTATATTTCCCCCAAAAAAGATGGATTGTAAGTCTGAGTGGTGAGTCATAAGTCTGAACAGTGTGCCTCAGCTGTAAGTCCTAATAGTTCTTAAGCAGTCAGGCCATTAAATGAGGAATGCCTACATTAGACATTATCAAAATGGCTCAACGAAAATGATTTGTTTTTCTTAAAAACACATACTCTCTAATAACTTAAAATATAGCAGCCATCAACAAATCATCACATCAGCTGGGTTCAGGCAATACTGATCCCATACCTATCAGAAAAGGCAGGGATGAAAATGATTCAGAAAATCCAGGATTAAGGCACAGCAATGATACACAAAGTGTTCATCAATAAACATGACTGTAAAATAGATGGAATCCAGATATGGTCATTAGGAGATCAATAAAGCATCTATTCCTATATTTCCTCACATGCCTTTTCCTGGCATCTTAGCAGCTTCCAAGAATTCTTCATGGTTACAGTGATTACACAGTTGGCACAGTTGAAACCTATGTTTTGAACGTGTAATTATGGCACATTAGTGAAGGGGCTTCTATAGGTCACTGCAAGGGGCCCATGAAACCAATATATTAATAAGATATCACAGAACTATGAACTTGCTTAACTGTAAAAATCACTGGAAATGTCCAAATATCCTTGATAGTGAAACTAGTATTCATAAAGCCACTGCTCTTGTCCAACTGAGTGGTAAATATCTTGGTGGACAGAAAAACAGATAAAGTATGTAGTGAAGAAACTTAATAACCAGGAGTGTAAGATAAAAATTAAACACATAAAACAATCACAGAGCCAAGAATAATAGTGTTGATTGCTGAATTGTTTCCTATGCTTCATAAGTGAATATATAACCCTTGAGAAAATATGTGCACTTATGAGACATTTCTACATATCAAAAAGTTTCAAAGGTGAGATCACTTCTAAAGAGTCTGTTTATATGAGAATTTATTGAACTCCAACTGAATCAATTTTATTATCACCTATAGTCCTTAGAAGTGAGCCCAATAAAGTGAGTACACAGCTGAATTTTTCTAGCCCTATAGCACAACTGCTCTACCTGTATCATAGATGATCAACAGGTCTCACAAGACTATGCTCCAAATCACTTCCTTCTGTATCAAAACAGGCAAATCATATTGAGGTTGCTTTGTTTACCTCAATCTACAAAAACTGTCAGGTAGCTTATTGTGCTCCAGCATCAGACATTATGGAAATATATATTCTGAAGACATCTGTCTTTTCATGAATGCTATATTTATCTGCACAACATATTTAATGTACCTATAATATCACAGGAGAGAGATTCCTTAACAACTGAGTTCAGTTCCTGAGACTAGGTCATTAAATGAATTGGTCATTAAATGAGTAACTGTATATAGTATGTACACTACAATATTCAGAACAAAGAAACAGTCAAAGGGAAACTCCAACTTGGTGACTTTGCTTTTATTTTCACAACTCTCACATGTAGTACTATAATGTATAACAGAACATAAAACTACAGTACTGTACAATTATAAATGATTATAGAACTATATAAACAGGGTTTACTATACAAAAGAAAAAGATATTAAGACTCTGCCAACAAAATGTACAGAACTGTACCACAAAGGAAAAAAAAGGTTAAAATCCAAGTGGCAGGTCATAAGTCTGAACAGCATGCCTCAGTCATAAGTCCTAACAGTTGTTAACCAGGTAGGTCATTAAATGAGGAATACTCGTGTGTGTGTGTGTGTGTGTGTGTGTGTGTGTGTGTGTGTGTGTGTGTGTGTGTGTGTGTTTGTGTGCGTGTACTTGCTTGCTTGTAAGTCAGGAGTTTGTAGAGAAACAGCATAAACTGAGTCATTGGAGGAGAGTTTAACAAAGGATCTACAGTATTTAAAATTCTGTGGGAAGGGTTAGGGAAAACACTGTACCAGGGACATATAAGGCCTCCTTCGCACCACAAGCCCCTACTCTGCCAATATTTTAGAAAAGCAAGAAACCATTACTAAACCTAAGCTTAGGGAAGAAAGAGAGGAGCTGTTAGCAAGGACTGAGAGCTTAAAGAAGTCACCTGAGAGGGATCCTGCCAACTCTGACCTTACACTCACCCTAATCTCAGTACTCTCCTGGTGCCTCCCGCTGGCAAACTCAACCAGAAGGCCCAGCCAAGAGATTTAAAGAGATGAGCTTCCTAGGATATGGACAAGGATAAGGAAGGGTGAAAAGAACAGAGAGGATAAACAGAAGATATTCATTATTGTATGTGTCCTCAGACCTATCGAGGAAGACCTCACCAGGGCCATTTTCCCTCTAAAATAGAAATGTTTTTGTCCCCTTTTAAAAATATTTCTTTTCAGACAACTTAAAAATAGAAATAGGTGGGAAGTGTCCTCTACCAAAAAACAATGTGGTCCAGTGATGAAAACTGTAATTCCAGATCCCAAGACTTAATTTAAGCAAAGTACCAAATAATAAAAATAACAAAAATAAATTAAGATTTGAGCAACACACCATGAGGTATCTGACACGTTTTACATATTTTTACAAAAGTGTAAGTTCTAATTCCTGCCAAAACTGTATGGGTTGGGTGGTATTATTTTATAAATTTTTATAAAGAAATAGTTTACACATAAGAAAACAGTAGCTCACAGCATTAAAATGAAAAATTTGAAAACCTCTGTCCACACAATTATTTCTCTATATTCAACAGAAACTAGAAACAGCTAATTTTGTAATCTGTAATCACTTCATTACAGACTAATTCTTAAATATGTAAAATCAATGACTTGACCAATCAACATTCAGCACATTATAGGACTAAGACAATATTACAATTTATTAATAGCTTTTATGGAGTTTTAAAAGTCTCTGATAAATTTTTGTAAATAGTACTGGTTAAATATGTCTGCTTTGGAAGTGAGGGGAGTTATTATTTTTAACATCTTAAAATAAAATACAGATCAATTATTTTAGAAATCTCAGAAGTATTAACATACATTAAGACTTCAATGAAATTCAATTTTTAGTTAATGTATCACATCTGGCACTGACTGCGTGATCTTATGCTAAGTAATTAATGTCTCTTACCATCAACCTCCTTATTTTTAATGTGGAAGTAATGGCATCCATATTTCAGGGTTGTATGTGAACATTAAACTGTACAAGCAAAGTATCTCACATAGCTTCTGATAGTGACTCTTAAGAAATATTCATTACCGCCACATCCTCACCATTTTTTGAACACAAGGCTGTCTGTAGAGTTTGCTTGAAAAGTACTAGCACATACCCTGAGCAGTAGCCCAGCTCTGATTCCAACCAGGGAATTGTGGGAGTGGGAAGGGGAGTTTCAACAATTACCTTGACACCAGTGTCATTTATGTACCATATCCGTGTCCTCCTAACCACCCCCACCAGTATTTATGCCACATATTTGCTTGGATAATGTATTGCCTCAGTCCTGGATATGAACTACAAATGAGAAACTACCCAAACTGTATTTACTTTTGTGACACTGCCAATTGGTAAATAATTATTATAAATTCACATATAACCAAATAATTCACTGTGCATTTGTATTTCTTCTAAAGCACTTAAAACTATTGTAATAAGAAAAAAGTAATTAAGACAAGATATGAACAACTGGATAAGAAAATGAGAGGATTAATACAGTTCCAACATCAAAAACAGAAGTTCTGGAAGAGAAAAAAGAAATGAAAAAATTATTAAAAATTAATTGAAGAAGTTGGGGCTGAGGTTTAGCTCAGTGGTGCCACTGCCTGACTTAGTCCCGAGTTCGATCCCTGGTATCCCTGCCAAAAAAAAAAAAAAATTAATTGAAGAAAATATATCAGAAATGAAGGATATAATATTCTATATCAAATCTAAATTCAAAGCACAACAGAGGAAAAAACGGTACACCAAGTCACACTCAGTTATTCATTAACTATTATTTACAGAGATATGGGCACAATTCTAGATGGTAGACATAGCTGAACAAAATATAGACTATGTTGTCTTAGACTTACATTTCAATGAGCAGAAGAGAATTAATTAACATAATTCCTATGCCAAAATAAGAAGAGTAAGTAGGATAAAGTGTGCTCAGTGTGGGTATTACAAGTTATTTTTATACAAAGTAATCAGGGCTTAATGGTAGGACACTTGCCTAGCACGTAGTAAGGTCCTGGGTTCAGTCTCCAAGATGACCACAAAATGTTTTTTTTTTTCTTTTACACAGCCAGTGAGGAAAGTGTTGTGGTAACAGTGGAAATTTATAATGATGATTAAATTAAAAGAGTGCACTATGATTTGTATGTACAGCAATGATATAAATTTTACAATAATAAATTTTATTTACTGAAAGTTATACAATATATATTAGAGATTAGCTGTATCTATAATGAAATCACAAGTGATTTTCATTTTACTTTCTGTACTTTTAAGTATTTTAAAAATTCCTCACAACTGACTTTTATAACTTTAATGGATTAAGTTGTTAACTGAGCTACTTTGTAGCTCATGAAATTTATCCTAAAGCACAGACTTTTAGAAACTGTGTAAAAAATGTTATGGAGGGCCAAGGATTTCAGCTCAAGCTCAATGGTGCCGCCAAATGCCTTGCAACTGCAAGGTCCTATGTTCGATCCCTGGTACCAAAAAAAAAAAAAAAAAAAAAAAAAAAAAAAAATCAACAAAAAATGTTATGGAGCTGCGAGAGAATCCAATTTCATCAGTCTTAAAGACATCCATGAGAGATGAAAGAAAAATAAAATTTAAAAACAAATATCCTGATAAAAATTTTCAAAAGTTATTTTGCAAAAATTAAGGTTTTAAAGTATGGTTTGAGTAGTTTAGAGATTGTCTTCCTGTGCCTGATACTGCTATCTGACATGTACAGGCTTACCAAAAACTTAAGTGCTTTCTTCTTATACATGTATTATATGTACTAAAAACACCTATGACAGGTTGTAAAGCCAAAATGAAAAAGAACTGTATGTAAAACTCCTGCCAACAGCTCAAGCTGAAAATGCCTAATGACTAGAATAGATACCATGAGGTGTCTGACATATTTTACATATTTTTACAAAAGCATGAGTTCTAATTCTTGCCTAAATCTTATAGGTTGGGTGATATTATTTTATAAAAATTATTTTATAATGGAGTGCATTTTTTGCTTTCACATTATTTTATAATAATCAGAAATGAATATTGTATCAGGATAACAATTGTTAAAATTTAATAATTTCCACTTTGTAACTAGGCACACCTATTAACATTTGGTAAGGCTCTCAGTCCACTTAAGGCTTTAAAATATGAATGAATAACTATTACATTATATAAGAATATGAGAAAATCCTTTACTTGTTATTTTCTCCAAGTTATCTTGACTTCAATTCTGCAACTAGTTTTTACAAAACGCTGAAAAGCCTTTCTCAACATAATAAATGAATATGAAACATAAGATATATTTAAAGAGAAGGCATGGATTTTAAAAGATTTAAATGCCTATTACTACTGCTGTGAAAAGTAAAATCCATTCGATAAGGACTAAGTTGGCAATGTGTTAAATTATACTTCACTGTGTGTGCATATATTTCATGGCACTGATCTTTAAAAAAATAGTTATTAAAAATCTTAATATTATTTTCAAAGCAGCATCTGAGATTTAACTATCAGCTATTTCCAAGGGGAAACTATGTATCTGTTTTTTAAAGTGAATTTTAAAATTAACTTTCATTTCTTAAGGACATTGATTTGAAAGGGGTATTTCATGTCCCTTTGGTGCAGAGAGAAAGGATCCCATTTAAACTTCAGAAAGGCATGGAAAAAATAAACAAGTCTCCTGAATATACTTTCCTCTTTATTGCTTCTGAAAAGTCATGAAATAAAATCTATTATTTAATTACACTGGATCAAGAAACAGGAAGAATGGATGCATTTAAATCACAACACTCCTAAAAGAATAAATTACTATATTTCCTCTGGGAAGAAAAGTGTTTTAATATGTGAATAGGCATTGTCCAAACATTCTAAATCTGCTTTAGTAAGGTGTGAAAGCCTCTAAAACAAAGATTAGCAACAGCAAAATATCAAAATTAAAGGAAGAAATTTAAAACAGCTTGCTGAGATAGAGTGCTCTTATAAAACTGAAGAATTTAGTTTTGTTCTAAAATTTGTATACATCAACTTACTATGAAGAACGTAAAAGCATATTGCAGAATTTCTTTTCTGTGCTTGATTAAAATTCACAAGATATTCTGAATTGGTACAATTCATAGAAATAAGAATGAAAGTTTTTCACTTTTTATCCTGGGTTTTATAAAAAGGATTTTGAGGTTGGTCTTGACTGTTACAGGCACTAAAGGGAGGTGATGCAGTCTCTGCCCATTCAGGCTAACAGCAGAGGTGCAGTGAACTCTGCAGGCCACAAGTTGCTGCATTTATTTAACTTCACGTGGCAGGATGGAGCCAGCCAGAAAATATGTGAACACATGAACACAGCTGTCCTCTAGCAAAAACAGGCAAAAGGCTATATATGCACATGGCTTGTAATTTGCTGACCCCTAGTCTACTGTACTGTAAGAAAATTGTGAAAAATATATAGTGTTAAGAAAAATAATGCTATGCTAAAAAAATAAAACAAACAAAAAGCTGCCCTTAAATAGTGAAGATGAACTCAGATTTTAACTGTTGTAAACTTAGGGACTTATGCATGACTTAGTGCATAAATATTCATGTAAAGTCAGGACAGAAATTTTAATTAGTTATATTGGCTGTTTGCAAGTTTTGATAATGACTTTATAAACTATTAAAACAACACTGAGCTGTTTTGATATTTATTTCCAATTTATTAACTATAAAGTCCTATTCTCTCCTAATGTTTTTTCACCCTTTCCAACAGAGTAGAAGCATAATCTAACTAGCGTGCTTCTATCGTATTCTCACTTGCTCTGAAACAATGAACTAGATGACAGATAATTCTACTGAATGTCAGAGAAGCCCACAATTTTACGATGTATAACTAGTGATGTTGACAATCAGGAAATCCAAACTACAAACCAACAATGAATTACAAGTTTTAAGTTGTTATATTTAATTATTCTCCTCCTCCTGAGAGATCTTTCCCTCCCTTACATGTGTAGTCAAGGAAGTGGGCCTCAAGATCTTAATGTGCAATCTCATTTGTTCCACTTCAGAATTTTAGGGTTAAAAAAATATTCCCAGAGAACCAGTGGAATTTTGTGTTTTGTACTCCAAAAGCAAGACTCCAAAAGAAAGACTTTGGCTTTCAATTTGTTTTCATTTTTTCAACAAATATTTATTGGGTACCTACTGTATACTAGGCACTGTGCGAGTAGTGAGGGCGCCATAGTGAAAATGACCACCACAGGTACTGCCTTCAAGGAGTTTCCTCGTGATGGAGAATAAAAAAACAAGTGAAAGATTTTATAACTCAACAACTGATATTAAATAGTTTATTGAAATAAAGTTTGAGTGAGTGACATTTTAGATGAGATTTGAGACCTATAGGATAGTAGGGCTCTTACCATTGGAAGGTCCCTTACTGGGAGGAAGAAAGGAGTGGAGACAGGTACAGAGGTGCGCAGTAAGGAGACCATGTATAAAGACCTCCAGCATGGATGAGAAGCTGAGAGATGACAGTGGCTAAGGAGAGAAACAAATTAACAAAAGAGGACAGAAGAAGCATGGTGGGATAATGTCAGCCATTCAATTATTATTATTATTTTTTGGTCAGCCATTCAATTATAAAACTTCAAAAATTAATGAGTAGTCAGGGCCGGGGATTTAGCTCAGTGGTTTGGCGGCCTGCCTTGCAAGCGCAAAGACCTGAGTTCAATCCCCGGTACCAAAAAAAAAAAGAAAGAAAGAAAAAATTAATGAGTAGTGAATGATACTCTTCCAAATGACACTTTACAAATCAGGAAAAAAATGCTTGTAAACATGAGAATTTTCAAGAAAAGGATAAAATGCAAAAAGAGAAGACATATCCTCATTTACTTTTCTTAATGTAACTTATTTTCTCCTCATTTGGTCACAAGTCAGAAAATCACAAGTTGTAAACCAATAGGGCATTGCAAAAATATCTGTACATTCTCAGGAATGAGTAACTGTCTTTCTGGGCTCTAGATCCTCAGTGGAAGTATGTGACAGTAATAACTAGTCTTCTTTCAAAATAAGAGAATCTATCAGGGCTTTCCTACAGGGCTGTGATTTCACAGTATGTAGGCCTATGCACCAGGGCAAGCAAACTTAAAGGATAAAGGATAGTGCATCATCCACAAATGTCAATTTTATTAGAGAATAAAATATTTTTATTTTAAAATGGGAATGATATATTATGACATGGAATACAGAATCTAAATTGTTTTATTATTAAAAAGGAAGATTTAAAAAACATCAAAATTAATCCATTCCATTCCATGTAATCCCTCCTTTAGAGGGATAAATATATGCAAAGTGCTTCGAACAAAGCTCCTTTACTGTATGTCTGGAACAGAGCTGGCACTCACAAGGGAAACTAGCTTTTAGGGTTAAGTTTTCTATCTTTAAGTCTTTATTTTTATTAAAGGAACTGTTCTTTACTCAAAATTATTTCAGAGAGAGAAATGGCATCACCCTCCCTTTCTAAATATTTAAAGCAGGGTGCTATATAATTCATTCAGCCTATGTAAAAAGAATCTTTGTCTCACTGGATTCTTTGGACTATCCCATTAAAAAGTATAGTTATATGGGAGCCTTACATCTTAAAATTTCAAAAAACAGAAAAGAAAAAAAGATTTTTAAACAAGGCATAAAATTTTTAAATCCACTAATCTCTATTTAATTTTGTTTTAGTCTCCATGAAAGTTAGAGAAGCTATTTAGAGTTCAGATTAAAAAAAAAAAAAAAAAAAAAAAAAAAGGAGAAAAAATATTTTTTTTTAAAAAAAAAAAAAATCTGTTTCAAGTCATGTGACCCAATGTTGTCAAATGGAAGAATTATCTTAGATTTTCCAGTCTTAGGTTCTTGGGTAGAATCTCTTCCCTCCTGAAGACAGTCTGCACTCTGGCCAACAGTTGTTCTGAAGCATGAAAGCTATCGTTTCATTTTTTAAGAATTATTTTAGTATTTTGAAATGCCATTATGAACTTCTCAAAGCTTTAAAATCATATAAATTATTTCTAAGGCAATAGTTCTCAACTTCACATTGTAGATAATTTAAGAGGAAAAATGAATAAATAGATCACAACACTACCTATACACACTATGCCAGTGAAAAGAAACCTTATCATTATTCAAGGAAAGCATGGCATCTGAGAAAATACTTTATAATGTCCTAAGTAAATTATTAATCCATGCCATAAAACAGACTACAGGCACTGTCATAGTGTAAACCCTAGAATTTCAAGAAACCAGCTGGCAGACCACCGAGAGAATCCTAGGAGACCATCACCATCTGTAGGGATCACACTTTGGGAATCACTGTTGTAAGAAATGAAACTTCTTCCTCCTCAGGAAGTAACTCAGGAAATCAATCTTTGTTTTGGGAGAACACACTATCCATAAGCCAAAAATATCAAAGTATTAAGACCTTCAAATTCTTTTAAAACACTGTCATAACCTCAAACTACCTTTTTTGATGGGAGGTAGTATGTAGTTGTGTTTAACATGGCAGTGAATGTCTAACATGCATGAGTATATACACTTATAGATGATACATACACATAAACAGTTCTCACCTTTTTCTCACTTCTTTCTTTCTCAACAGTGGAACCACCAGCTGTTCTGTAATGGGGTTCTCTCTTTTTTTTCCCCGTAAAGATTTTACCTTAAATAAACAAATTAGCTGCACATATCCTAATGTCAGTATCTAAAACATAAATGAAACCAAGTCACTATGTTATTTAAAACAGACTATCTAAATGGTTATACTCTTATGTCGGTAATGCTGTCATCAGTATGAGCATTTTGCAACTGCCTTCTCAATCAATTTATGAGCCACAGAAGAGTACAGTCTTCATACTTTACAGTAAGAACTCAAACATTTATTGGTTATTGGCTGTGTACCAGAAAAAATAAATGTGCAACAATAGTGAGAAAAACCTTGAAAGAGAAACAATGGAGACTAGCTGTACCTTAATTATTAAAATATACTACAAAGCCTCTAACTAAACAAGTAGTATGCTGGCATATAAACTGTCAGATCTAAACACACACAGAAAACTCAAATAGATCCAACTATATGATAATTTAATATATATAATTTTTTCAAGGTCATCAAATCATCAATGAAGAGGCGATTATTAAAATCAACTTAGTAAATACCCAAATATTAAATAATGGATATACCAAACATACTGGAAACCACCTAAAAGCTCACAAGATAGACTGGCTGAAAAAAACTGGCCCAATTACTCAGGGTAGAACTACACAGGTGTGAAAAAGAAAATGAAAAGTACCTCTCCAAACTGATACGAAGTCATTTTTAGGATACAATCATACAAAGTCAAGGGAACAAAGAGCATACAAAGATACTATCTTTGTGAAGATGCCTGCTATACATATTATATATTCATATACACACATACATGTACATATGAATACAAAAGAAATGCACTCATATGAATACATGTGTATATATGTTCATGTATATCCATACATATAAAATTAATGAGACATTTGTAAGAATGCCTTTAAATGAGTTTTCATTTCTCCTGGGGAAATAAGTATACAGAAATATTTTTACTTTTTATGGTAAAAGATGTTAATAAGAACAAAATTGATTTCCACAAGTGTTTATACCATTTTACATTTATCAGTAACTCATCCTAGCTAACAATAGGCATTTTTAGCTTCGGTTTTTAGCCTATGTAAGTAATGGAGATACGCAGTATCGCATTGTGATATAATTTGAATTTCCATGATGATTAATAATCATGAGCATCTTTGACTGTGCTTATAGTGGCCATTTATATTTTACATGTTCTTTCCCTTAGAGAATCTCTGCAAGGTTTTTGACTCTTCACTGGATTGTCATATTTTTGCAGATAAGATTACAGTACAGTACTTAATGTATTTTAAATACAAATCTTTGTCAAATATGACTCTGAGCATCATTTGTCTGTAATTTGCCTTTTCATTCTTTTTTTTTCTGAGATGAGGTACTCACACTGGTCTTGAATTCCTGGTCTGAAGTGATCTTCTGGCCTCAGCATCCTATATAGCTAAGACTACACAATGTGCTACTATTTTGGTACTGGTATTCTTCTCAAAGAGTGGAAGTATTTAAAGTTCATAAATTTATCTTTTTAAAAACTGTTTTTAGTGTTCTACTAAGAGATCTCTGGCTACCCTGAGGTCTGAGGTTCTCTCTTTCATTCTCCCTTCTAGAAGTTTGATAATGTTAGACTGCTTAGCTTTAATTGTTGTGTATAGCATGAAGTAAGGGTTGAGACTCATTGCTTTCCCACATGGATATGCAGCTGTTTTGGGAACTTTGTTTTAAATACTAATCTTTCCACATGAATTATTTTTCCTGTCAGCCTGTGGAAGATCTACTGAACATGTATGTATGGTTCTGTCTTCATTTCTTACTTTGTTCCAGTGATGCTATGTCAATAACACACCACTTTGATTATTGCAGCTTTACAATGGGTCTTGAAACAAAGTGAGCCACCTAACTGTTCAGTGTTTTGGCTATTCTAAGTCCTCTGCATTTCTATATAAATTTTAGAAGCACCTTCTCAATGTCAATAAAATATCCTGCCAGGCATTTAACAGACTTGGAATGCATATATGGATTACTTTGGAAAAAATGATGCTCAACAATATTTTGTGCTTTAATTTTTCCCCCATTAATTTATCAGTACATTTAAAGCAAACAATAGTTACATTTATCATTGGTATCTTGTATTTTCCCCATATCCCTGCCCTCCCTTCATGCCCTCTATGCTTCTGTATTTATTAAGACTTTGTTTCCATTTTTTCTTTTGCCCTCTTCCCACTTCCCCTTTAGCCATTTTCTTCCTATTGCACACTCTCAGTTACAACATTTGAACCTTACTTACACTTTTAGTTTTCCACACCAGAGAAACTATTCGGTATTTACTCAAGTGTGTCATATTTATTTCACTTGAGTACAGCGTCAATGTGCATCCACTTAGCTATAAATGTTTCTAGTTCCTTATTCTCAATGGCTGAGCAGTGCTCCATTTTATACAAAAACTGCACCTGCTTTATCCAGTCTCCAGTTGATGGGCATGTAGGTTGTTTCCAAGTTTTAGGTATGACAAACTGTGCTGCCACCAACATGGCTGCACATATATCACTGTGATATGATTCTTTTAATTCTTTTGGAAAGATACCCAGCAGAGGGATGGCTGGGTCAAATGGGACCTCTAATCCTAGTTCTTTGAGGCATCTTCATATTGATTTCCACAGTGGTTGCACCAGTCTGCACTCCCACCAACAATGGAGAGGGATTCGTTTTCTCCCCAGAGCCCCATCAGCATTTGTTATTGGTTGATTTCTTGATAGCAGCCATTCTTTCTGGGGTAAGGTAGAGTCTCTTGTTTTCATCTGCATCACTCATATGACAAGTAACGTTGAACATTTATTCATATGTTTATTTGCTGCTTTTACTTCTTTGTCTGAGAAATGTTTTTTTCATTTCAGATGCCCATTTTTGAATTGGGTCTTTGTATTTGGGGAGGGGTGTTTGATTTTTTTTTTTTTAGTTCTTTATATATTCTATATAGTAGTCCTTTGTCTGAGGAGTAGCAAGTAAAACTTTTTCCCACATTATATGTTGTCTCTTACCTCTGTTGGTGGTTTCTCTTGCACTGCAAAACCTTTTTAATACATTGAGATCCTAGTTGTTCTTTGTGCAAGTTCTCGTGTGGCTGAGGATTTGTTCATAAAGTCTTCTCCTATGCCAGTGTCTTCAAGAGTTCTACCTAATTTACTTTCCAGTAAGTTAGTGTTACTGTTTTGAAATCCAGATCTTTAATCCACTTGGATTTTAGTTTAGTGCATGGTGAAAGATAGGGATCTAGTTTTAATCTTTGGCAAGTTGAAATCCAGTTTTTCCAGCACCATTTATTAAAGAAGCTATCTTCCTCCAGTGAGAGTGGTGGACTCATTTGTCAAGGATGAGGTAGCTGAGTATGTCTGTTGTTTCTGCATCTTCTAATCTATTCCATTGATCCTCGGGTCTGTTTCTTTGCCAGTGGCATGCTGCTATTTATCACAGTGGCTTTGTAGTATAGTTTCAAATCATGCATGTGATACCCCTTGCCATGTCTTTGTTATCTAGAATGGTTTTTGCTATTCTAGGTCTCTTCTGGTTCCAAATAAATTTTTGAATTGTTTTCTCAAGTTCTGTGAAATATACTGTTGAGATTTCAATAGGGACTGCACTGAATCTGTATAGCAGTTTTGGAAGTATGTCCATTTTCACTATATTGATTCCACCCACCCAGGAGCAAGGGATGTCTTTCCATCTTATATCCTCTTCTATCTCTTTTTTTCAGAGTGCTATAATTTTCAGTATAGAGGTCTTTTGTCTCCTTTGTTAGATTCCTAGATAGTTCATTGTTTTGGATGTTATTTTGAAAGGAATTGTTTCCCTAATTTCTTTCTCAGTAAGTCTATTTGTGTACAAGAAGGCTGTTGAGTTTTGAGGGTTGACTTTGTATCCCGATACTCCACCTAATCTGTCAATTAAGTCTAGCAGTCTTTTGGCAAAGTTTTTTGGATCTTCTATGTACAGTATCGTATCATCAGCAAAGGGTGACATTTTAACTTCTTGATTTCCTAACTTTATTCCTTTTATTTCTTTCTGTTGTGAATAGTTTCTAGAATTATATTGAATAGAAGTGGTGACAGTGGACATCCTTGTCTTGTTCCTGATTTTAGCATGAAGGTTTTTGTTTTTGACTATTTAGAATGATATTGTCTGTTGGTTTTTCATAGCCTTTATTAGGGTGAGATAAAGACCATCTATTCCAATTTTCTAAAGGGTTTTATCATGAATGTGTGTTGAATTTTGTTGAATGCCTTTTCCGCCTCTATTGAGATGATCATATGGTTTTTTTTCCCTTAATTCTGTTAATATAGTTACATGTTGAACCATCCTTGTAGTCCTGGGATAAACCTGACTTTGTCAGGGTGTATGACCTTCTTAATGATCCTCTGTATTCTTTTTGCCAGTATCTTGAGGATTTTTGCATCTGTGTTCATTAGGGAGACTGGCCTGTAGTTTTTTCGGTTGTCTTTCCCTGGTTTTGGAATCAAAGTAATACTTGCTTCCAGGAATGAATTTGGAAATACTGCTTCTCTTTCAATTTCATTGAAAAGTTTAAAGAGTAGTGGCAATAGTTGTTCTCTAAATGTCTTGTAGAATTCAGCAGTGAAACCATCAGGGCCAGGGCTTTTTTTTTGTTGGTAATGTTTTAATTACATTTTCAATCTCACTGAATGTAACTGGGGTGTTTAGACGTTTTCTATCTTCTTTTTTCCACTTTGGAAGTCCATGTGTACCTAGGAATTTGTCCATTTCTTCTGTATTTTAAATTTTATTAGAGTACAGGTGTTCCAAGTAGGTGTTGATGGTCCTCTAGATTTCTGCTGGATCTGTTGTGATTTCATATTTATCATTCCTAATTACATAAATTTGAGCCTTTTCTTTCCTTTTTTTTTTTACAAGGTTGGCTAAGGGTTTATTGATTTTACTTATTCTTTTGAAAAAACTCTTATTCATTGATTTTTTTTTTTTGTATAGTGCTCTTAGTCTCCATTGCATTAATTTCTGCTCTAATCTTTATTATTTCCTTTCTTGTATGAGCTTTGTCTGTCTTGTTCTTCTTTTTCTAGAATCTTAAGGTTAAGCATTAG